TGATTGACAGAAATAAGAAATTACTGTTACCGCAGTGGGAAGCTAACCTGGCCCTGGGGCATTTCTGCAAAGCAGTAGGTGGTGTAGGTTTTATTTCCCCCCTTGCATTTTCTGTTATAAGATGTAGAGCTTCCAAACAGTGTTTTCTAAACATAGCTTCTTGAGACGTGCTCTTTGTCGCCAGCCTGCAAGGCTGGCAAGCAGCTTGTGTGCTTTGTTCCCTTCAGCGGGCTCAGGGCTGGCTTTCTAACGGGGCTGAAGGGGGGTGGCAGGGAGGTGATGTAGCCACTGGCCCCTTTGCATAGGGCTGGACAGGGCAGTGAGGCTGCTGGGTGCGAGGCACGGCTAAGGTGTTTGTGATTTTGGTTTTTGCCGTATTTGCAACAGTCCCCAGCTGTTACCTTCGGACTCCCTCTGGGTACTTCTATACTGGAAATAAAGGGGATAAAATACTATTTTTTTGTTTTGTACACCATAGCCTGATATTCTCTTATCCCCTGCTTTATCTTCTACTCACAAGGAGATTATTTTTATGCTCTCCATCAGTGTAATGACCCCCAAATATTTTATATTTATACTCCCAGTGGTCATCTGGCTTACCCTTGTTTGCTGATCCTCACAGATCTGTGTTTATCCCCTGCCTGTGGCAGCTTCTGACCTGGAGAAATGTAACTTTAATTTAGTTTTTTTATTTTATTTGCAAAAGGAGAGACTGAGAGGTCAGGTACTGAAGTGGGGTTCAGTGCTTACGCAGGAGAGGGACCAAACAGTAGGGCCTGTAGGAATAACAAGGCTCAGTGGTGCAGGGGTAGAAGTGCTCCTTCCCTTTTGAGGTACATCCTACTGGTGGTCTCATCCCATAGCCAGAGGTGGGAAGTGCCTGCCCCTTACAGCAGGCAGGAGCAGAGGTGTTTGGGGCTGTTCCTTGCAAAAGATGATGGGGAGAGGGCCCACCTGATGTAGCAAGAGACTTGGGTCTGAGTAACCCCCAGGCCGAGTGGGCAGGCATGAGGAGTAGAGGCGTGGGGTACAAGGAGCAGAGGTGTGGGGTTGGGTTGCTTGCTCTGAGTGCGAATATTTGCCCTCTCTCTGCTTGGGGTCCTTTTCCCATGCCACCAAACTCTCTTGATCCACATTCACCTGGGACTGCTAAGGCCTGAGTCCTACAAAAGTGTTCAAGGCTCAAAACAAAGTTTTGGCTCGTGACTCCCAAATTCTTACCCACCTTTGCCTACCTGGCCCTTTAACTAACCGCAGCCAAAAGCGAGCTGGCTGCTGGCCGGGGCACTGGTGCGTGTGGAGAGTGTGCTGTTCTGGCCCTTGCTGGGAGGATACTCCAGAAAGTTATTACCTGTTTTATGGTCAACCATTTTACTTTTAACCATTTGGTCCTTGGTGAACTGGGGTCAGGGCAATCAGTTAGGTAGATCAGTGCATCTGCTGAAGTCAGCTGTGGACACCGTAGTGCTGAGGTAACACTTTTTCTGTGGGCTCACCCAGTAACTTTTCATTTGTTTATATAAATATATGCACATTTCGTGCTTCATCTTTCCTCGGCTGTGTTACAGAGCTGAGCAGTGCCATCCGTGGCACAAGATCTTACACGACGTCTCCTATTTTAATAACACGAGGTTCATTTGAGGTTGCAAGCGTCGCAAGACGTCGGTTCAGACATGATCACTTTCACATTTCTTTTTCTTGGGGAAGAGTTGAGGTTTCTTTCCATTAGTCTGCATGCCTTTGATTGAATCTGTACTTTGCGGACAGCAGATGTTGCTCTCTGGCTTGAGGGCCAAAAAGATTTGATGGAAGATCAAAAAAGTGATGCTGGTCCCAGCCCCCAGCAGATGAACCACATCTGCTCTGGGCAGGTCCCATTAGGCCCCTCTGGAATGGAGGCAGCCAGTGTCCCCCGTTCAACCCCTCCACCCCGGCATTCACTGTGAGCACAAAATGCGGGGCTGGCCACAAGCAAACAGAGTGTGCTGTGGTAAGCAAGGATGAGGAATCTTCTAGAATTTCTTTTTTTTTTTTTTTTGGCTTTTAAAAGAAAATTTGTAGTTCATAATGTACAGTAAGAAGCAGCATATTGAATAATATTAAACTCATAAATGCAACCCTGAAACTGCAAAGTCAGTTTTGGCCTCCTGGGTCCAACGGCAGGAGCAAAGCCATCCTTCCCTGTGCTCCTCCCAGCTTCAGAAGAGCAAAACATCTATGAAGGATGGTGCTGGCAGGCATGTAGCTCTGTGAAAATAGAGAGCAAGAGATACAAGCAAGAAATCTGCTGGGAGCAACTTATTATTCTCTAGATTTTGACAGATTGGCTCTTTAATGTCCTCTCTGGGAATATCCTTTGGCATCCGCCTCCATGGCCGTTTTTCAGATTCGCACTCCATGCAGAGATGGTCCAACTGCAGCACTCACATCTTCCCCCAAAGCTCAATATCACCAAGGACCATGGCTTTCACATTGCCCCTCTTTAATTCCTGAGCTCCCATAAAAGCCCTCTGTTTGTTTCTCTGACCACACATTTGTGTTTTAAGACCTTGTGGTTTATGACCAGTCAGGATCAAAGCCATCAACGCTTCCAGCTTTGCTGTTTTGCATTCATGCGTATCTCAAAACATTGAGGGATCGTCTGCCAAGGGAACTAGAGGGTTTATACTGAGACAAGCTGGCTCGTAGGGTGTAACCATGACCTACAGCAAAGAGTCTTGGAAACCTTCAAGATCAGGGTCCAGAGTAAAGCTCAGCGAAGGGCTGTCCTCTTGTGCAAGGGAGACCTAATTTCACATGCAGTTCTGCAGCAGTTGAAACCTCCCAGGCTGGTGTGGAGCACTGTCTTTTTCATGTATGGTCTTCTCTCCTTCGCAGGATGCTGAGGAGGAGGAGGAGGGAGAAGTTGTCACCACCTCGGTGGGAGAAGGAGAGGGATGTTCGGTGCTGCTGCAGCTCTGCTGGTTGCGGAGGAGGTGGGGGGCAGCCTGGGAAGTGCTGGCTCCACGCTGGGACCTGAGGTGCCAGCTCCCCCGGCACCACTACTGTTACTGCTGCCAAACGGGGGTGAGGGAAGGACCTTTCTTTTGGGTTGGCTCGTGTTTCAGAGTGAAATTTCCCAGCAGCAAGGGGAGGAAAGGAAGGAAATCTTATTTTCCTATAAAAGGATTCTCTGCCTGTATCCCGCGCATGGCACGTGACTGGGATGATAACGGGGCGGGGGGGAATCCTATAAGCCATATCACAGGGTGGGAGGCTCTCGCCTTCTGCTTTTTGCCTCTGCCTTTGATTATTTCCGACCCTCTGACAGATCCCTGGAGCTGCTCTGAAGAGGAATACAAGAAGAAAGCCCTCCAATCACATTGACGCAACTCCATTCCTTCAGCAAGCTATATATGTATTTTTATTTTATAGTCATTTGAACAGCGGAGAGTTTGGCAATAGTGACAGCCTCGGAAGTGTGCGCTCTGCATTTGTGTGTCTATGTGTTTCGATCCCTCCAGCTTGGCTCCCACTCAACATCTTGGAAGACCCACCAGCGTGCTGTTTTTAAACACAGCAGCAACTTGAAAGACCTTTCCCCTGGGCTCCCCAAGAGCATCATGTCTTGACACCCCCAACCTGGCAGTGCAGGGGACGTGATCCAAACTGGGGGGGTTATTACCAAGCACTGGACTGCAAAGAACCGCTGATACCTTTCAGGCAACAGCCAGCAAAGCTTCGTTAACCTGTTGGGGTGGCCTGCACTTCTTTCCCATTATTGCTGTTTATTTCAGTTTATTTTTTCTCTTTAACCCTTTTCTCAGAAAAAATTTACTGAGGCCAGACCTTCAGCTGGCCATGACTTTATTGGCACAAACAGTACTCGGCAGATTTATGTTTGCTGAGGACTGTGCCCGGATCAACAAAGAATGGATTATTTCAGATGGGTTTTCATCACTTAAACAAGTCTAATGATTCCTAAAGTTGCTCAAGTGAGTTGTCCTGGGTTTTGTTTTCAATACACAGTTGTGTATGGCAGCATATTCCCTAATAGCATTACGTTTCTGTTATTTATGTAATACTTTCATCTTATATTTCCAAGAATGCATTTGACTGACTGTGCTGCAAGTCATCACTGCATCTCCCATGATGCTGGAGCATAAATAAAGCTTCCGAAGGGATTTTTTTAAAGCTCTGGCAGTGGGTCTCGCTCTCTCACTGAAATCAGTGAAACTGGCTTCTGGTGGTGAGAAAAGGACCAACAAAGCGGGCAATGCTTCCGGAAAGGACACTTACCTTCTCAATAAGTCAACCCAAGCCTGTTACTTGCCGATTCATTCACGTACATAACTGGACTAGTCGGACAACCCGTTGAGCAGCTGGTACTCAGCCAATAAAGCCCAATTGTATCTCTCAGTGCAAAGCAGGAGTAACCCCCTCTGCTCGCCGAGACGGGACCTTGATCCCCAGGAGCCTGAATCAGGCACTGTGAGGAACAAGGAGCTCCCTGCCAGGGCTTATGGGGAAGCAAAACAGGAGAAGAAAGCAGGAACTAGCTATGCTGGTGTCCCAACAGAGCTCAGCAAGATGGGAAAGGATATTGCAGAACAACAGCCCCGGGTAGTCGAGGTGGCTGTTGGCCAGGCTGGACTGCTGCGCTAGTTCTTTGCCGAAACAACCGAGCCATCCCAATAAATTCCCTGTGTAAAAAAATATATCTATAAATCGTGCCTTAGTAAGAACAATGCAGCTGCTAACAGGGCTGGATGTGGCCAAACGAAATGCTCTAACGCTCTCTAATCCGACACCGAGCCGCGACGACTCTTTTGGCAAAGAGTGACTCTACTTTGAACACGTGCGCGTGTACGTGCATACATACATGTACACGTACACATAGCTTTATAACCCTGCTGCCAAGGGGGAAGACCCGGGTTGCAGGCAGGCAGGGGGGAGCCCCCGC